AAGTTACTTTTAAAGAAAGACTAAGAGAGTGTATCATTCACAGATCCTCAATGAAAGAACTATGAAGGATCTGAAAAGGAAACGGAGCCCAGAGAGAAGTAGGTACAAATAGACTTGTAAGCAACAAACAATAAAATTAGTAAATATTTAGGTAAATTGAAAATGCATTAGTAATTTTATATGCATTTATAAATATGTGTGTATACATATTCAAATACACATATATTTAAATCACATGAGATTAGCTTTTCTATAACTAAAACTTGATCACATGTTGGCGATTTCATATAATTCAACCTCATGTAAAATCTATAATAATAAAAGCATAATATGCTAATTAGATGAGGCGTCCTTCTGGATGACCTTCTGGGCGAAGCTGGGGCTGCAAGGGAAGCCCAGGTCCCAGGTGCCTGCTGGCAGCCAGAAGGAAGCCGGTGCCGGCAGCTGGGAGAAGGAAGGCCTACTCTTGCACAAATTTCGTGCTTCGGGTCTCTAGTATTTTTATATGTAGTTTAGTCTGTCTTATTCACTGCCATATTTCCTGTGCTTAAAACATTGCTTGTAACATGGTAGAGGGCCTCAATCTATACTAATAAAAGGGTAATATGCTAATTAGACCTGGAGACCTTCCGGGAGACTTTCCAGATGTCCTTCCGGAAAAAGCCATGGTGGCAGGGACGAGGCAGAGGCGGATCAGGCCAGGAAGGGAGGGCAGTTGAGAGTGATCAGGCCGGCGGGGGTGATCAGGACAGGGTGGCAGTTGGGGCAAGCAGGCTGGCAGGGAGAGTGGTTAGGGGCAACCAGGCAGGCAGGCAGGTCAGCGGCCTGCCTGAGGCTAAGCTGCCCCAGGGCTGCGGGAGAAACTAGGGAGCGGCATGGGGGCAAACCTGGGTTCCAGTGCAGGTGGGACAGAAGGAGCGCTCCAGGCTAGGCCAAAGGCGGAGGAGCTTCCTGCAGAGGGCCTTCGGGGAGTGGGGAGAGGGGTGTGGGGAGAGGGCCTTCGGGGAGTGGGGAGAGGGGTGTGGAGAGA